TTTCTGTCAGGGTTGGGGACAGCCGCCCTTCAATTTTTAGGGAGGTTGAGAATGAGGACTACTTTGCTTCTGTGTCCAGGCGCCGGGTGGGAGTCTCGTTCTTCATCACTGTGAAAAAGAGGCTTTGCTTTGGGTTTGATTCCTTCTCAAGTTCCTGGGATGATAATTTTAAGTTCTCGTAGCGGTAGCGGTCGATTCACCACTATCGATCAATTGATATATTGGTATTCAAGTTCCTTGCTGCTAGAACATTTCCCTTCGATCTTTTGGGATCTACTTGTTCGCCAGCCTTCACGAAGTCCTTCTGGGGATAGAAGCGGTCTGAGCTCTTCAAGAGGACTGATCAATTTCTTTTGAAGGATTGAGAGGCTTCTCACCTCCAATCGATGGCCTTGGACTTTGTCTAGGGTGAGTGGGTTGATGGTGTGGAGCATGTCATGGCCTCATTTAATTTGGCAAAGGAGGTTGAGGGTTGGGCAGAGGAAGCTAAGAAGAAGCTTGTCGTGGTACTGGAGAAGCTCTCCTTAGCTTTCTAGTCACTTTCATTTCTTGCGGCGGAGAATCATCGTCTAATGGAGCAGATGTCGAATATGAAGACTGAGGACGAGTTCTTTTCACTGCTTCTATCTCAATCTAGGCAGGTGGGTCTATCGAAAAAGCAACTCTGTATTGGGATTTTGTCATCGATTGACCATTTTGTTTTGTCGAGCTTGGTTGATCCCAAATATACCGACCTCTGAGAGTTTGTCACTCTATATTCTAGTTCTGAAGGGTCATCCTGAGGATGATTCGAGTGCTGATGGAGAGGAGGTTTCCTCTAGTCAGCCTTCCAGATTTAAAACTATATTCTACCAGCTTTTTCTCTTTTTGACATGTACCCCCTTGTATGTACTTTGGACTTATGGTCATTTGTTGATGCAAAGATTTTGTAACTATGATATTTATGAGATTCATATGCTCCTTTAGTACTTTTGGTTCACATGTTGCCTATCCCTCAATTTTTAATTTTATTTTTTTTGCCTCGACAATAAGGTTGGTCCCTAGCAGAGTTTCACGCTGTAGAGTGATAGTTTGTTGTATTAAATGCTCAGTTAGGCGATCTTGGTGTCGTAGTTAGCTATTTTCAACTGATGTGCAACCGAACAATCTTGGTGTCATGGTTGGTTGTTTTCATTTGATGCACAGTGATACACCTAAAATATATAGATTAAAATATATAGATTTTATGTACACATTTGTATACCTATTTTTGAGATATTACGCTTTAATGAAAGGTATTTGTGTGTTTTTCTTTAGGGCACAATTAAATGGATGAAAAATGGTTAAATGAGTGAAAAAAGATCAAATTTGGAGCAAAAATGAAGAAAATGTGAAATTGAACTGAGGTATCTAAGCGCTCAGTACCTCACACTTAAACACCAGAAGTAGTTACTTGATGATTTAATGAATTTGGATGAATTTTTGAAGAGGTGTTTGAAACAACCCTTGCTGAAAACGTGGGAAATAGTTAATGGACATGAAAATTCATTCAATTGGCTTTTGAAAGGAGGCAACTTCTAGAAGATTCATTGAATGTTGACACATTTTAAAGAGACACCAAGACACCTTTGGGAAAATTATTAAAGAAGACTTGGATTGAGGGGATGAGGAGCCATCATCCTTAGATCACAAATTCCATTTCACATGCCGCCGCTGCAACTTTTCTTTTTATTTTAAGTTGTAGCTTGTATTGCAAGTGAAAGAAGAGATTCAAAAGAACTTCAAGACTTTGGTGGAGAAGATTTGATATAAGTTTTTATCTTTGGTTTTAATTTAGACTTCTTGTTTGTTTGCATGATTTCTACTTTCAAACTTAAGTGTGGTTATGTTTTCTCCATGAATTCTGAGTTATTTTCTTTATTTTTTTTCTTAAATGATAAGTGGTTAAGTATTGGATGGAAGTTGTGTGAAGTATTAGTCTTTAATGTTGAAAGAAGTCGTGATGATTTTAAATATTGTACTTCATTTACATTTTGATTTGATTAATTAAGATGTTAATACATGTATTGAGAACATGTAAGATCCGAGATGGTATTGTCTCAGTCAACAAATGGTGAGAATCACATGAAATTGTATGGATGAGAATGTAATTCATATGATTGAGTGCAAATAAATATAGAAATAAACTTTGAAATGTTTGTAATTAAAGAACTTTAGAGTGACAGACTAAAACACGCAATTTGATTTATAGTTTTAGGTTTTGAT